TGTGCCACAGGACTTTCAGTTAGTTTAATGGCTGAGCAAGGCTAACTGAGACATTAGCATCCTTAAGGGAGACACTTTGTTAATAGCAAAATATTGGTAACTAACAGTACTTCTCACTGATTCAGCACCTGATATGCTGGACACTGTCTAAGGCCTTGGGAACTGATCCTTTCCCTTGAGGCAGAGGCATTTGTTCATAGAGTCATTCACTCAGGCAGCATCGGAGCACCTGAGATCTGACAGCTCTGGGCACAGAGTGATGAACAGGGCAGGCATGACCCTGTCTTCCTGGAGCTTAGAGTCTAGCAAGTTTAACAGAGGTCAGCGAATTTCTGTGGAGACAAAATGTACTGGCTTCTTCACAGGGAGATTAGGAAATTTCTGAGACTTGAAAAAAATTGCCGTGGGTGAGTGGAAATTCAATTGGAAGAATTTGATTTTTAAGGATTAAGGAACCTAAATTCAAACTCTGTAATTTATAAAGTTGATTTGTTGCTGTCTTTTTGAAAGTGGGCATTCCCAGTGCTTATCCCACTGTATTTCGAGTATAGAGTTAAACAGTCTACACGTAGTCACCAGAGGGAAGATCTGACCAGATCTCACTGATTCGAGTAGAATGTGTTTGATCTAAGAGTAGCTTCCATCTCACCATGTCCCAGAATCCAGCTTTTATTTTTCCAGTGTGATTCATGAACCTGAAATTAGAAGCTGATGTTCTAGCACCAGCTTGAAAACACTTGTCTTAACCAAAAGGCCTTTTACTTGGATTTACTTCATTCGTCATTCATTCAGTAACTGTATTGAGTATCTTCTTTATACCAGGCCTGTGCCAGATGATAGGAATCCAAAGATAAATACGACCTGGCCCCTGTCCCTGGGTGTCTAGTAGATATAAGACTTATGTATCAACATGCAATTACAATCCAAGGTTGTCTATGCCTCAGTAAATTTAAACACAGGGAGAGCCTGGGAGACTTGAGAAAGGCTCATGGAGGAAATGATGTCTGAGCTGGGTTTTGAAAAGGAATTGATAAGATGGAGAAGTGAGGGGAAGACTTTCCAGGAGGAGGAAAGAGTATGTGAAAAGGCAAAGGGGCCTTTCAAAACATGAAAGAGCATCCTCTGAGAAAAGTTGACTTCAGAGTAGAGGATTGATGGGGACCGAGAGAAGAAACTGAGTTGGAAAATGATTGGCTGATAATGCTAAGATAGATTGGGGCCAGAAAGTTATGGCTGCCTGAAGAAGGTAATATCTTCTATTATTATGTACTATTATGAATGAGTGACTTTTGTCTTCTAAAATAGAAACTCAAACTCTTAGGCATATAGATGAGAAGCAGTGTATCATAGCTATGAAATCTACTACTATTTCTATGGCCATATTTAGCACATACACATGCCAAGTTATTTCTTGTGTCTTTAATCAAAATACTTGGCCTTCAAGATGACCTAGACAGATGGTAGAGAACCAGTATAGTTAAAGTGAATGCTGTGCAAAATGGCCAAATGAGGCAAGTCATCCTAAAATAATATAAGGAATTGCAGCCAGTGCTTTATACTGAAAATACCTTGTATAAAACTCTACTTTTGTATTCAGTCAATCCGTTATTTGACCCACGGAAGACAGAAGTCCCCAAACCAAGGTGCTATTCATGCCCAGAATTTCTCTGAGCATCCCCTGACCCAGCGTGCCTCGTCACTAGTCTTGGGCCCAGAGGTTTGAGTACAGGGTCAGAGGCCCCAGGGTGGGGAAGGATCATCAGTTCTTCCTGCTTCCTCTATCCCCAGAAGTCACCCATCTGGGCCTTCCTTTACTTGATGAGGTGGGAGATGTGAATTAGCAGAACAGAGGATCAAGATAAGCTGCTCCTAGACATAATTTTTCACTGAATTAAATCCAGAGGGAATAAAAGACCTTAGGTAGTGAGTAGCAAAGCCCCAGAGCATCAGCTGTCTAAGTGAGTGTTGTGGTGTGTGACAAGAGGTCCCTGAGGGGGACACTGCCCCAGATCCGTGACTGCTTACTCCACCACCTTCTGGCACCTCTCTCCCTCACAGACAGTTTGGACAGGTGGCAGCTTCTGGAGTGTTAGCCCAAGAGGTGCCATCTCTCCCAGCTCTGCAGCCTCCCTGCTCCAGGTGCTGAAGAGCTGCCCTCCACCAATGACTCAATGACAACAAACCAGGGACGTCAATAAAACTCATTATAAGTGATAGCAGCCTTTAACGCAGGTGTGCAGTTCAGAGAATTAATTCCTCCCACCCCTCCCAGGCAGCTGTGGTGAAATTAAAGTGGGGATTGACATTCTCACGAATTCCCCATTTCCTGCTGTATTTATCAGGAATCTAGGTCACGACAGCTCCGCTCATTCCTGTCTTCACCAGCATATGCCTTAGAAGGCAAAGCCCAAAGTTTTCAGGCCCTCTCTTTTTTCTTCCTTCTGCATGCCCCTGCAGAAGAGAAAGTGTCACAAGGACGACCACACTGACACTCTGGTCTCAAGTGACTTCAGCACCTAGTCAAGAGACTGTTTGGCTCTGATGGTATTCACGCTGGCTGTCATTGGCAAGGAGATCATTCACCATGTGACTGCCCTAAGCAAAGCAGCAGTTGTCCAGTGCCAGCCCAGAAATTCATTCATGATTTTCACCTTTTCCTACTGACCTTTGAGAGTCCCCTAGTGCTGCTGTGATATATGGACTGGTTGTTCAAAAGCAAAGCCCACCCTCTCCTTTCTCTCTCCAATCTCTCAAGTATGAGTCAGAGTTTTTGCAATGAATGACACTAATATTAGGAAATCATCATTTATATCAATGTTCATAATTTAAGAACAACAATTTTTATGAATTTATGAGATTAGAACTTAACATTTTATTGAAAAAATGTTTTAAGGTTTTTGAAAGAAGAAAATAATCACCTATGATCCCAGCACCTTAACATAATTATTTTCATTTCACATATTTGCTTCCAGGCTCTGTCCACAAGTAGGAATTGTTCATAGTTGTGATCCATATGTAAATAATGTTCATTTCTCCTGCTTTTTTTCACTTAAGATCAGATCTTCATAATTATCATATTGAATGGCTGGCTGAGTATAATTCTCTGAGTTGCTAATTTGTTATCTCTTTAATGATTTACCCAAAGAAGGGAGGGCATTTAGTGTCTCATATTATGTGCTTACAGATAATAATGTTTATTGCTTCTGCTTGCTTTTGAATTTTTTTTAGGAATAACGCAGGAGTGGGATCCCTGGTTCTTGATATGGATTGCCTTACTGAGTTTTTTAAAAGAATGACCCCAATTTATGGTACCACTGGTAGGGCCTATGTCCATTTTCATTAAAAGAACAAAGAGAGATACCAAACTTAATGGAAAAATTGTTTTTCGTTATTTGTTTTAGTGAGCACTTTTTAATGTGGTCAGTCTTCACTGGGCAGGCCTGAATGGAGGCTTAAGGAAAAAAAATAAAAAATGAGGGGAGGGGTAGTTCTGCAGAATAGCTCCCGTTCCATGACTTGGCATTCTTTCCTTCACTTGTTTCTATTTCTGGCAGGGTGAGAAGGCCATGAGAGAGTAAGATTCTGGTAGGTCTGGGCTCAGAACAAGAGCTGCCCCCTCTGAATGAGGGGACAGCTGGAGGCGAGCCAGACATAGATGAACTCCACAAGAGCCACAAATAGCCTGATGGTTGACTGTGTCGGGAGAGGCATCCAACTAACACTGGGCCTTCGGAGTTCACTTTGGAAGAATTCAACCCACGTGAAATTCTAAAATCTGGAGGCATTGACCTCATCTTCCTGCCTCCCATCTTCTTTCTGGGGCATTCTTAGTGTGAGTTACCAGCCAAAGGCAAATCCTCTAACAGATGTTAAGGCAGAAATGATGTGGAGAGACTGATCTACCCCCCCCTAAGAAAGAATGCCTCCTGTGTGAGCAGTTACTGAGAATGCAGCTTCCAGATCACAGCAGGGGCAAGAGGGGCGGTCATCAGTGGTGCCTAATACAGATACAAAGAAGGAAGGTAGGCTAGCATGTGTGCATTATAACAACACAGAGCACCAATGTGGATACCCTTGGCCCTTCCTCTCCACATTAGGAGCCATTAGGGTGTTGACATGTGCGATGACTCTTGTGTTCCAAAGTTATATCCTGCTGACTTTTCGGACCAATAGAATAATCTTGTACCCAATATTGTACAGTGCGTACAATTTGAGAAGTATATTTTAATGTACATATTAGACATGATACTGAGTGTATTGGCCAAGGTCATTCAGCTACAATGAAATGACAGTGTCACTTAGTCCTTAGTCCTCTGGGTCAGGCTCATAGTCTGCACTCAGTAGATGCTCCCCAATGAATGAACCCAGGTATTCTGACTTTGGGCCCAAGCTTCTCCTTTATACCCTGCAGCTGCTATAGAATAAAATCTAAGTTTTGTGTAGCCTTTGCTATACTGTAGTTCAAAGATCAAAGGACAGACAAGTTGCCTAAAGGTAATGGATTCACCCAGAAGCCTCATTACTTCCTACATAGTTTCCACGTTTTAGGAAGTTCATACTCCTATGGGCATCTGTCTGTTTGGAGGTGATCAAAGATGGAGCAGCCCTTAATGGTGCTGATTGGGAAAGAGTTTACCATTTTTCATGGTCTCCCTGGAAGGCTGAAGAAAGGAGAGTAGCACAGCTTTGGGATTGTGTGGCTTTGGACAACTCATTTAACCTCTCTAAGCTCCTTCCCGTAAAGGGGGAATGATAACACTTGCTACATAGACTGTCTTGAGAATTAAATGCGATGGTTCATGCAGACCTCCCCTGAATAGAGAGAAGGAAATGTGTTGTGAACCTTGAAAATCATGCTTCTTCCTCCCGGCAGCTTCATTGCTGCTTCCCTTGTCTGGATATGCGGCAGGCCCCACTCCACATTCAGTCTGCAGCCATTTGTAACTACAGAACGAATGTGCCAATTTTCCTTATGTGGCGTTTTCTCCAATCTCTTGTAGGAGGTGCTGGAACTTGCTTTCTCCATCTTGTATGACTCAAATTGCCAGCTGAACTTCATAGCTCCTGACAAGCATGAGGTAAGGGTCTCAGTGGGGTTAATTTATGAGAGAATGTCACATTTTCTCTAGAAAAACAAGCAGGAGAAAAATATTGGAAAGAAAGAAATTAAAAAAAAAAAAAGCCCACCTGAGGAAAATCATGAACAACGAAACATCTTGTTGACTTGGAATAAAATGGAAACATCTTGAAAACCTGCCAGTTATAACAGGTTCAACTTCTTACTAGCTTGATCAGTAAGTAGTTCATGGTTAAGAAAAAGAATGTACAAATGCTTCATACTCCGCAAGGGCATAATTGTGGAGGAAGAAGCGGCCCTGGTTACAGCTTTGGCTTTTATGGAATATTTAATTTTGGTCAGGATTTTCCCAAGATGAACTTGTCTCTATTCTTTAAAAGAGTTGATGGAGTAGATTTTCTTCCATGTTTCTTTAAGTTATTTTGAGAGATTTAGGGCTGTCTCTGCTGTTGGAATTTTATTTTTGAGACGCTTTTATTCCTTTTTGACATCTTGTTATATGTATAATTTGTTTCTCTTCTTGAAGCACGCTGTCAGCTATATTTAAAATATTTAGCATAAATCTAGGAAAATACATTTGTAAGATGAAGCAGCAGCTATGATTGAGTTAACTTTTCTCTTGTAAACTAGAAGCCAACATCACTTGAAACTCTTATTTTTAGATGATACCATTCAAATTTTTGTTTTGCGTGTGGTTGCATAAACAGCTTTTAGAAAGGAACATTTTAATAGAATCTGACTTTTGTTCCCTGTTTCCCCAGGAGATTTAGCTCATTTAGAAGTTATTCAGTATCTGGTTTTCACTGGTTTGAAGCTTTTGAATCAAATTGTACATCCCAAAGAGATAGGAAAGATTAGACACAAATCCTGCATTTAGAATGGTGCTTAAATATAATTCTGTTACTTGACATTTAGTTTGCAGAAGGGTATGACTTTGTCTTCATCTTCCTGAAAATAGATGCTGTGTCCTACTGTTTCTTTTTCTAAATAAAATTATGGTTGTACCTAGGCCACCATATTCAACATGTATAAAGCTGTATAGAAAACTACTTAAAATAGTAGAACTGTAGATATTATTGAAATCTATGCAGGGCTGTTTTCCCCAGTGTACGCTAATTCCAGATAACTAGCCTGGCTTACTCTGTGCCAGGCACCTTTTCATCCTTCACCTCACTTAATCCTCATATCATTCTAAAAGACACAAACTAATATTATCTCCATTTTATCAAAGAGGGAAATGAGGCACAGAGAGGTTAAGAAACTTGTCCAGGGTCAAACAAGTAGTAAGTGATGGAGCTGGGATTTAAATCGTGGCAATCTTGTTCCAGAAACCCATTCTCTTTGGCCCCTGCACTGTGTAGCTAGGAAGGGAGAAAGCAGGACCTGAATTCATAGGTTCCTGCCAATGCCCATCACTCAGCTTCAGCAATTATCAATTCATGGCCAATCTGGTTTCGTCTATACCCCACCCACACCCAGCTGCCAACCCCCGATTATTTTCAAAGCAAATCCAGATATCATATCGTTTTACTTGTAAATATTCCTGTGTGAATCTCTAAATCATGGAGTCCACTTTGAAACATAACTACAATACCATTATCACACCTAGTTTTATAACATTCAAATACCACCATACGCAGTCACTTTTCAGATTTCTCCAATTGTTGCATTTGTGTGCTTTTTCTTTTATACTTTATTCAGATCAGAATGCAAATAAGATCCATACATAACAATTGGTTAACATGTTTCTTCGGGTTCCTTGAATCTATAGGTACCCTTCTCTGTGTCTCTCTCCATCTCTCACAAGCATTTTCCTTGCAATTTATTCATTGAAAAAACCAAGTCATCTGTCTAGTAACATTGCCAATAGTCTAGATTTTGCTAATTATAATTCTGTGTATCAGTTTACCATGGCTGCTTTAACAAATTACCACAAATTTAGTGGCTTAAAACAACATAAATTTATTATCTTAAAATTCTAGAGGTCAGAAGTCTGATGAAGACTTTCCTGGGCTAAAATCAAGGTATTAAAAGGACTTAATTTCTTTTGGGAAGCTCTGGAGGAAAATCCACATCCTCGCCCTTTCCACTTCTAGAGGCCACCTACACTCCTTGGCTTCTGGCTTCCATCTATGTATAGCAATAGTGGGTTGAGTCCTCATGCTGTATCTTTCTGACCTCTTCCATAGTCAAATCCTTCTCTCTCCTGTTCTGTTTCCCGCTTTGATTTTTAAGGACCCTTGTGATTACATTGGGCCCACCTGGACAATCCCAGATACTCTCCCTTTTTTAAGGTCAGCTGATCAGCAACCTTAATATCCTTTGCTATGTGACCTAACATACAGGTTCCAGGGAGTAGGACATGGTTTTATTTGAAAAGAGGGTATTATTCTGCCTATCAGAACCTGTGCTATCATTTCACATGTTCATCTGTCTCCTGTATTTCCTATTAAGTGGTAGTTAGAGAATTAATCAAATTCAGGCTCAACTTAAAGCAGCAGTGGTGGTGTGTTCCTCCACGGTGTCTGGTTGTCTCTCATTTGGGGATATTAGCAGCCATTGATGATTATTACCTAGATCCCTGGATTCATTAGATGTTATATAAGGTTGATATGCCAGTTCTATAATTCCTTCTTCATTTATTAGTGGGATTTTTACATAAAGAGAAACTGGCTTCATCAGCTATTTGTTAACCTGAGGTTATACAATTTATATATGATAGGCACAATAAATACTTGATTCTCTCTTACCAGTTTTCAAAATAATGAGCATCTTCCAAAGGAGATTGATGAGATATTTTTGGTGTTTGAGTATTATTATGAAGTTATGGATTTAAACATAATTGTGTTTCAGTAGGTTGCAGTTATTGTCATTATCAGTGTCCAAATTATCTTATCTAGGGAAAGTAGGATCACCTTCTTGTTGACTCCTGAGTCCTACTGACATGACCCCAGATATCTTTGACAACTTTCAGGCATTCTGGTATGACAAGATATTCCAGGCTCATGTTATTCATTTCCAACCTTTTCTCTATGAAGTTTTGGTCCCTTTTGGTAGGAAACAGTATTTATCAGCCAGAATCTGGGCATTAGGTATACTTACTACAACTTGGTTGGTCAGTATTTTTAGGCCTTTTAGTGGCGAGAGCTAGGAGTTATGGGGGTTTTTTTAAAGACAAAATACATCATAAGTTCATACTGATACTTCTGACTCAGATTCAGTAGTACAGAGTTTTTATTTATTGGTAAATGTACTTTTTAATAACATTTTCTATGCCTACTGCTTTTCAAAAGAAAAGCACCATAGAAGTGTTCCTGTGGGTTAAATTAATCTGTACTAGGAAGCTAGCCAGGACTGAGAAGTCTGTGTACAAAGAGCAGCAATCCCCACTGCTTAGGGATATACAGTGAAACAGTGTCAGAGCTGGAAGGGGCCCTAGACGGCATGGAGTTCAACGGTACCCATATCGGGAGGCACATCAAAATTAGCTGGAAGCTTTTCTAAATAAAATGTCCTCACCCAAGATCTACAAGATCAGGATCTCCAGGGTAGAGCCTAGGTATCTATTTTTATCAAAGTTATTTAGGAGGAAATAAATGTTTAGATGTATTCAGAATCTAAGGTATTCATGAGGACACTAATTATTCCAGAAATCCCTTAGCACTCAACTGATGTTTAGATGGGTTAAATGCTTTGACTGAGATCACATAGCCAAGGCAGAACCACAGTTCGACAGTTGAGGGCTATCGTATTCAGACAAGGGCCTCATAATGCATCCATGGGGCACCTTTTCAGCTTAAAAAGTGGTACTGCCAATATGCATCATTGTAGGTTTCCATCATATCACTATGCCTTAAGATTTGTATATGGTTTGCAGTCTTATAGTACTTTTATTTGAGATCTGATGCACACAGCCCAGGTAACCACAGTGCAAAGGACAGGCTAACTAGGATCTGAAATTGCAACTTGACCCAGTGAGGGCAAGAAATGAGGGGAATCTAGAGCACATGCTAGAAGGAATAAAAGTACAACAGGAAAAGCAGAGCAATTGCTATCAAGAGGTCTTATATAGGACTAGGCCATCCTAACTTGTGAGCAGAGTATAACATCCAGAATGCAGGCAATTTTCTGAGATGCTGGTAGCAGAGGCTGGTTCTTTCACCAGGTATCACAGCTCTAATACCAGGTCATGGCAGGACTCCAGCCTCTGAGATGGAAGCTGACAGGAGTAAGGCAGGTCCTCAGATAAACAAGGCACAGTTCATTTCCTCAAGGAGCTCATAGACTACTGGAGAGGCAGAGGATATGATTAATTTTATGAGAAGGAAAGAACCAAATTCTTAGTTGGGTACTCTGAAGGGCTTTCCAAAACAGGTGATATCCCCAGGGACCACACTGCAGAGACCCGGAAGAGAGAAACCCTGGGAACTGGAGATCTGGGCAGAAGAGGTCCCCAGACAGGCAACCAAGCCACCTCGCATTAAGATCACCCAATAATTTTAGCCATTTTGTCCACCACATGTTGGCAACAGAAGGCTATCTCCTAGCTCTTTTGCTGAGAAATACAAAGGTGGAGCTACCATCGGCTCCAGGATAGGATGGGGCTGTCATTGTGAGTGCTAGGAATCATGTAGGACAGGCAGAGATTAGCTACTATACTAGCAACCAGGACTGGAGTCAGGAAAGATGCAAACTTGACCCAATGTTGAGTCCAGGATCATAGACTCACTGATGGGGCGGTAGAGATATTATGTTACACAATCCCGGAGAAGTCAAATCCTCCTGCTCTTACATAGGGCGGCATTCTTTGCACAGAAGAGTGCAGGATTGGAGTCAGATTCCACAGGTTCGAATCCTGCCCACTCCACATACTATCAAGTTACACAACTTCTCTGTGCCTCAGTTTCCTCAACTGTATCACAGAGAAGATAAAACAAATGTCAAATTCATAGAGATGTTGTGAATATTAAATATTAAATAACAATGTAGGCAAAATACTTAGCACAGAGCCTAGAACGTGCTGAGTAATCAGTAAGTGGTAGCTGTTGTTACTACTCTTATAATTGTCATCAGTAGTCATCCTTGTCACCTCCTCTCCCACCAGTACTGTATCTGGACGGATGGGCTGAATGCGCTGCTGGGGAAAGACATGATGAGCGAGCTGACGCGGAATGACTTGGACACCCTGCTCAGCATGGAGATCAAGCTCCGCCTCCTCGACCTGGAAAACATTCAGATCCCCGATGCACCCCCACCCATCCCCAAGGAGCCCAGCAACTATGACTTCGTCTATGACTGTAACTGAAGTGGCCAGGCCCAGAAGCACCCCCCTTCAAAACTGGAAAATCTAGCTAACAGGAGAGAAGAATGAAAATCGGCCCAGGGCTTGGAATCCTCTTGGGTAAAGGGAAGCTGTGGGTCAACACTTTCTTTGGCCTCACCTCTAGCCCCTGGCATCTTTCTGCCCCTACCTGGCGTTTTGCTCACTGCCCCAATCCTGTTTCTAGACTCCATTGCTTTAGGTCACTTCCCATTGCCGCAGTCTACTGGTGGGAGAAGAACAAGACCCACCACCAATAAGAGAGCCAAAGGGCCCTTCCATCCTAACCCCAACAGGCACGTCCTCCTTCCTGGAGTATGAAAGCCAGCAGCACCAGACTGCCCCCAAACCTGCCTGCCAGACGGAGGGGAGTGCACCAAGGCTTGTGTCTGGAAGAAACAGCCTCGCTACTTGAGGAGACCAAACACCACCTCCTCATTCCCATTCTCTCTAGAGTTGGCTCATACTGCCAGTTCCATGTGAATTGAAATCTGCTTTCAAATCCCCTCCCTTCTCTGTCCCAGCCTTTGCCTTGCCCTGTTCTTCTCTGGTTCCAAGAGCAACAGCAGCAGCCTCATCCTAGTTCTCGCCAGCATTGGGTCTCCCAGACACAGTCCACAGGTCCCATGCCCACTTTGCATTTGCACTGTGACCATGACCAACCTTCTTTCCTTGCCAGCTAGTCTTGGGTTTCTTTTCCCGGCCCCCGCCCAGACCTGCCTTCTTCATTTCCACACACCCTCCTAGCCCCTTAGCTGAAAGCACAAATGGTGATATCAGTCGTCATGCTACATCTTTAATGTACTAAACCTAAATGCCTCTAGGACAGGCGGTTGCTATCTAAGGATTTGGTGTTACATTCTCCTGAGGGCTTCTGCTGCAATACAGGTTCCACAGGATGGTCAAGCTGTCAGACATCCAAGTTTACATCATTGTAATTATTACAGATGTTGACAATTTGCAAGGGTTTGGGGTTGTTTTGTTTTGGTTTTTTTTGCTTTGTTTTTGTACAAAAGAGTCTAACATTTTTTGCCAAACAGATATATATTTAATGAAAAGAAGAGATACATAAATGTGTGTACTTTCCAGTTTTTTTTTAATTATTTTAATCCTAAACATCTTCCTGAGAATAACATTCCCTTAAACATGCTGTGGAATAAAATTAATTGTGATGAGTTGGGGCGCTGGTGTTTTGACTTGGTAAGTCACGTTCTTGCTGCTCAGGCATCAGCATCACCTGGGAGCTTGTTGGAAATGCAGCATTTTAGGCTTCACCCCAGACCCACAGAATCAGGTGGTTTGTGTGCATTTAAAGTTTGAGAAGCACAAGCCCAGGGGACTTGACCACTGCTAGGTCACCATAGGCTCTGTGCATCAGTGAAGAATGTTACTTCTGAGAAGACCATTTCAACTCACTGCGAAAATCAGGCACACAGTGTGAAAATATGATCTATTCGTTTTTTACTGTTGCCTACTGACCATGACTTTCTTTTTTATTTTTTCTTCCTTACCACTATATAGTTTATGGAACTAACCAAATTAAACACATCACACTTTGAGGGAGCATATTTAACAATGAAAAAGAATGCAAACCCATAGACTGGAAATAAATTAAGCCAGACCAAATAAATTTAACTATGAATTAATAAAATACAGGTCAGAGCCCAGCAAAGGATTTTTCCAAGGTCAGTTCCACAGGCAGCATATCTGGATCATAAATTCCGAGGGCTGGAAGTGATGTCATAAAGGTCCAAGCATGAAGAATTAAGCATGGCACAGCACAAGCCACTCTGGACTTGCAGCAGAGGCGTTAGATGCCTCCAGGCCACAGCTATTTACCGTCATCAAGATGTGCAATTACAGATTGACCTGGGTTGGGGTGACGTGGTTCACAGCCCTCCATAAATTGCAGGGAAAAAATCCTTTATAATTCATAGTAATTCATGGGCAATTATGCTTCCCATCAGAGCACTCACACCTGAGTGTCAATTTGACACTTCCTTAATCATTAAGCTTTGACGACATTAACACATATGTCCTTCATGGCAGGAGCATTTATTGATCTACGTATCATCATGATAAAATGGTAAATGTCAGATAAAAGAAAGCTGACAGAGTCATACCATTTTTTACTTAGGAGTTACCAGACTCCATCCATGAAAAGGGAAATTCTCTGGACCAAGATAATCTGAGGTCCTAGGAGCTCTGGATTTAAGAGATCCATCTGTCCTATGACCCTTGCTGGAAAGAACCAGCCCCTCTCTCTTCTGGCACTCCTGCTTTGGTGCATTAAGTGGATAGTAACTCTTTCCAGACTGTAAAGAGAGCTTTCTTCTACTTCTCCTTAGACCCTCCTCCCTCGGACTGGTGAGATCCTGAGAGTGGACATGATTCCTTCATTTTGTGGCAGTGTGGTGGAGGGTTACTGTACATATTTGGCTGCCTCATCTTCTCTCCCTAGACTGTCAAGTCTTCGTTCCCAGACAGCGAGCCTTCCATCTCCAGCATAGCTCCTGCTGTCACAGGTTTCTGAGCCTAGACAAATTGACCAAATCTAAGGGAGCTGTGGAGTAGGAATCCTGATTTTGTCATTAGGTCTAAGCTGCATCCTCCAGCTTTACTGAAATAAAACTGATTGCTGAATCTGAATCCACTGATATTTTCATTCCTGTCTGTTCTTATTCAGAACCTATAGGGAGAAGGATAATTAATCGACCCTCTCAAACTCAGAAGTGACTACTTTCTGTTGTTGTTGAAGAAGATTCACCCTGTGCTAACATCTGTTCCCAATCCTCGTCCTTTTTTGTGTTGAGGAGATTAGACCTGAGCTAACATCTCTACCAATCTTCCTCCAATTTTTGTATGTGGGACACTGCCACAGCATGGCTGGTGAGTGATGTAGGCCCACACCCAGGATCAGGACCCATGAACCCAGGCCACTGAAGCAGAACCCTTGGAACTTTAACCACTGAGCCACCAGGCCAGCCCAAAAGTTACTACTTTTAAGGGTAGGGAAATCTAATGGTCATTGCAAAAGAAAAAGTGCAATCCTGAATATTTCTTGAGTCTATTTGCAAATCCATTCGAAACCATTTTCTAATTATCAACTAAAGCATATCTTATCTACCTGCTCTTATAAGGAACTAAGCAATTGTCCCCAATGATATATGTGCCTTTTCGCTTTAGTTATTAAATATTTTATGATTAATGTGAACCTTTAACTTTAAGGAAATAAAATATTCATGCAATAATCAAGACGTACTTAGAGCTAGACACCAGGAATCCAAAAAGAATAAAACTTGTAAATTTAAAGCTTGTAAAAATGACAAAATTTGTAAAATCAGGAAAGTGACAATCAAGTAATTTACTCAAATATAAAATCAAGTAATTGCAGCGCAGTGTGGTAAGTGGCACTATATCAATATGTACAAAGTAGAGTACTAGAAAGGAGATTGTGCTCAACTCTTTTGAAAATGGGGTAAGAGAAAATGAGAGAGGAGTAGAAACTTGAATTCGCTCTTGAAGGAGAGAAGACATTCACCGTGCAAAAGATAGACATTCCACGTAGAGCAAAGAGTACAAACAGAGAATGGAACCTGTGACTACTCAAGAATCTGTAAGTCATTCAGTGTGGCTGGTATGTAGGATGCATGTGGTAGAGCAAGGGAAAGAATGCTGCAGAGGAAGTAAGGCACAAATCATGAAAATCCAGATAGCTCGCAAGGGACTTTCAACTGAGGGCAAAAGAGTGCACTCAAAGGAGTCATGTCAAATTTGCCATTCAGAAATATCAAAAAGATAGAACACCCACATGGGGGAAAGATTAGAGTAAGAGAAATTGAAAGCAGAGACATTGACAAGAAGATGGTCGAAATAGTCCCGAGCAAGAACCATTTGAGCCTAGACTTTGTTATACGCAATGGGAAAGGGGAGAAGAGTAAAGGTATTAAAGAGGCAGAATTAGCTGGCTTTTAAGTGATGGAGAGAGAAGAATGCAAATGACTCCTGTGTTTCTGGAATGGGTGAGTAAGCAGATAAGAGGGCTGTTATCTGAAATCAGAAAGGAGGAATGGGAGATTTCAGGAAATGATAATGAGATGAGAGCCTGAGGCAGTGTGAGTTTGCTGGACTTCTCCAAACAAAGAAATAAGACCTTGGGCAAGTCATTTAACCACTGTGAGCCTCTTTCCTCATTCACAAGATGGAAATCTCGTTATTTAAGAAGACTGTTGTAGACAGGTGGCTGGAAACTGTCAGTGCTCAGTGAGTGAAGCCTCTCTCCTGGTCCCTGCTCATCCATGCCCTCCCCTTCCCTCACATCCTTCCTTTCCTTTTTGATATACAGTGGTCTGAGCGAATGATCTCTAGTATAGCTCAAACTAAATGACATATTTCAACCAATTCAGCCTGCTTTATGAGAAAGAAAAATAAGCAAGGGAGAGGAAGAAAAGAAAAATTAAAAATTTGAACATACTTCTTGAAATAAGGATTTGAGTTAACCTGCAATAAAACCACAATTTAAAATAAATTCGAAGTGGGGGAGGATATATGGTATAACCCTAGTGAAAATACAGCCATACCTAAATTTTTCTTTTAATGTAGTTATATTTTTTCTGACATTAAAATGTAAAATGATTACTTCAGTATAAGCGGGATTTTTTTTAATTCAGAAAAATAATCAGAAGACACCCAGAAGAAGGAAGGAAATAATTCTGCCAGAAACGTGGTGTAAAAATAGTTGCTACACTTGAACACTCCATTTAAATCCAGGCTTCCTAGAAGCCTGTGTAAATAAGGAAGAAAATTGGGATATACTGCTCTCCTTTTTTTCTTTTAAAGTTTTACTTCCTCATAAGAAAACATTCTTTCCCAGGCACCAAATAATTTTGGAGAAGATGTGCTGTTAAAAGCATTTATGGCCTTTGATAGACACCTCTTAGCAAGTGCTGTTTCTCTGTCATTCTGTTGTGCAGAATGAAGGGTGTTGCCCCTGCAGCTCCTGGAGGGATGAAAGCAAACAGACACCAGAGAAGGAGCCATTTGAGTGCTGGAGTGAGTTTAGGGATAAAGTGATAGAAGAATCAGAAGAAGAGTCTGGGAGTAGAGCAACCAAGGAAGGCTTGGCCAGAGAAAGAGGTTCAGGAGTGCACAGGGTGTGTCCAGGGCTAAAAGAGGTGCTGGGCAGGACAAGAGCAGGGTCCAGGAGAAGAATTCAGTGGAAGTTTTATTGGGCACACACTATGCACCATGAACAGTGCATAGGGATACAAAAATAAGTAAGAAGTGGACTCTGCCTTCGAGAAACTCATAGTGTAGAACAGGAGAGAGAGACAGATAATTGCAATCCATGACTGAAAGGACCATAATGTACAAAATCCCGAGCTAGCACACAAATCAGAGGTGACTGCCTCTGCCTGAAGGGTGAGGCCTGAGACAGAGTTGGAAGGATGAGCAGGAAGCCATCAGGTGTCAAGGGAAAGGAGGCCAAGCTCACTCCCTACTCTCCTTTGGGTCTCAGTTTGGTCATCACTTCCTTTGGAAAGCATTCCGACTTCAAGGTCAAGGTTAGGGACTCATGCTCTGTGCACCTACAGCCACCTCTAGTTACCCTGGAGTAATTATTTGAGCATTTCACTGTCTTCCTCACTAGCTATGAGCTCCATGAGAAGAGGAACCCAGGCTTACTGTTCACACCCTGCCTTTAGCCCAGTGACAGGTATTTAACTGTATTCCATCAATACTTTCTAAGTGAGCTGATGAAGGAAAGGCATTTCTGGGAGAAGTAACAGCATGAGGCATTAGAAGGAGGAAATGTGTTATGGCTGGAGCAGAGATGAGTAGGATAAAAAGAAAAGAATGAGATACACTTGGAAAGAGGGTGAAGAACCTGGAATGGCATGCCAAGAAGTTGGGAAGTGTATTCTTTGTGTGCCCAGGGGCCACCGACATAGAATATACTTGGGTGAATAGCATGACCAGATTTGCATTTTAAGATCACCCTTTCCTACTGGCAGCAGCACAAAAGACAAGTTGAGGAAGAGTGAGTCTGGAGGCAGGGAGACCAGGCCAAACTTATGTCAAAGGTGCTTCACTTTTAAGAAGGGTGAACATGTCAATCATTCAATCAAATTGTTAGGATCAAATTGAGCTCAACAGTGATTATATACAGGGTGCTGTAAAAGAGGTGAGAAACAACATCATTACAAAGGACACAAAAATAAAAGGCAAAAGGATATATTTTTAAAGCCTAACATATAAATATAAAAATAGAAATAAGACCATATCTTTCTCAGACTGCCAGAAAAAGCAAAATCTGGACAAATGTTGGTTACAAGATGTCTGCCTAAAATGAAACGAAAATACAGAGATGAGCAAGATATGCTGGCAAATACAAAGTAACCGTGGTGCGCACGGGGAGAGGAGATGGCAGAAAAGGAGCAAATAACTATAGGGCGAGTAAAATTGAAGGTAAAAAGCTATAAAAAAAAGAAGAAATTTATTTTGTAGTACCCTTTCACATTGGTACCATTTATCATGCTGCTATGACTGACAAGAATATCTAATGTCAAATAAAATTATCCTAAAATACAAAAACCAAAACTACTATATATACAAGAGAATTGATAAATGCCATACCTTAGGTTGAAACTTTAAATAATAGTATTAGGCCTTAACTAATGTGATTAACTGGATTCAGTGCATATTTCAATATATGTAATCTTAAATTAAATATGACAAATATTCATTTTTTAAATATCTTTGGAATATGTTCAAAATTAATTATATAGTTGTCCATAAAGAAAATCATTGCACCATAAGAAAGAAAGTAGTTATAAAGGATTTCTGGTTCCATGACAATACTCAAAACATCTTCTCCCCAAAATTATTTTAAGTGCAACAAAAATTTTAAATATAATGAAAACGATTTTGCTTGAGCTTGTATTAAAGACAGTGAAATCCACACGTGCCAGCAATGAAGAGAGAACTGAAATTGGAAGCACTAAACTTATGGCTGAGGCCGTGGCCTCCCCAGGGTGTTGGTGGTCTTGATGGGGTGTGGGCTTAAATGTCCAGGTGGGGCTGGAGACCAGGCCTCATGTTCATGCTAGACAAGGAGTAGAACTGAGGTCTTCCCACGAAATCCAGGATCCTGAGCGGGCTCAGTTGCAGGTTAGGTGGGGGAAAAAGTCTATCTGTTGGTACAGGACATTAATGTAAAATGTTAGCTGTATAACTGGGCTCTGAGTGGAAAAAGACTCGCCTAGAAATTCGAAGCCTTAGGCCAGTGACTCATGTGGTTCCAGGGTTCAAATTTATACTGCTCCAATAAGTCCTGGAATCCCCACTTGAGAGACTAACATGAAACATTGTCCTGGCCTGAACGGAGCTGTAATCCTGGCAAAAGTAAACCAAAAACTCCTCTGAGTGTGTCCCACAAAGGCCAAGCTACAAAGGATTTCCACAGAAAAAGCAAATGCCTTTAAAAAGTTGTGCTTACCGTCAAAAGTAACATAACACATGGAAGCAATCATGATGAGTAAGAGAAAGATTAGACGAACCAAAACTTGAGACAAATATAATAAAAATAAGAAAATAACACAAAGTAAATATATTTTTAAAGGAATTAAAACCCCAAGAACAATTTAA